CAGGAATGCTCAGCTCCTGCTGGCCATCCATGGTGCCCACACTTGCTATCCAGTGTCCAGTGTCCCACTGAGGCTGGCAGGCCCTTTGGGCAGGCTGCTCCCAGCTGCATGTTGGAGCCGGTGCTGCCAGCCCTACTGCTTAGGCACATTCACTGGGCACCTCCCAGTTACCAAGAAGACCAAACTTACAACGAAAACAGTTTGGATGAAGGCTTGGGAAGGGGTGGGGAGGTCAAGGCTTACACTTGCCCATAATGGCTTGTGAGTCTTTTGAAGCTTCAAGGGAAGGGGGTGGGGGGTCTAGATGCTCAGCGGCCCGCAGCTGGCCCTCCCACGCCCTCCCCCATGGCGGGCAGGCTACCACGTGCTCTCAGACCTGGTGAGCGTGGAAAAGCCTGGCTGCCCGGCCGAGTTCCTCAACATCCACATCCCGCCCGGAGACCCCGTGTTCGATCGCGACCAGAACGGGGACGTGGTGCTGCCCTTCCAGAGGAGCCGCTGGGACCCCGAGACCGGACAGAGCCCCAGCAACCCCCGGGACGGGACCTGAGGCAGCTGTGGAGAGGCTCCCACCACCCGCAACGGCCGCCGGGCCGTCGCCCGCCCTGAGCCGCCTCTGCCACCCGAACCCCGGCTCAGCCTCCCGCTGTCCCCGCAGACCAACGAGGCGACGGGCTGGCTGGACGGCAGCGCCATCTATGGCTCTTCGCACTCCTGGAGCGACGAGCTGCGCAGCTTCAACGGTGGGCAGCTGGCGTCGGGGCCCGACCCCGCCTTCCCCCGGAACGCGCAGGACCCGCTGCGCATGTGGACTGCGCCCGACCCCGCCACGGGACGGCGCGGGCCCCGGGGGCTGTACGGTGAGGCGGCGGGGGCGCGGGCGGGCGGCCGGCGAGGTGCGCCCCCCTCGGGCCCACCCGCGCTCAACTCCTCCCCTGTGTCCCCACCGCGCGGGCAGCTTTCGGGGCGGAGCGAGGGAACCGCGAGCCCTTCCTGCAGGCGCTGGGCCTGCTCTGGTTCCGCTACCACAACCTGTGGGCGCAGAGGCTGGCCCGCCAGCACCCGCTCTGGGGGGACGAGGAGCTGTTCCAGCACGCGCGCAAGAGGGTCATCGCCACCTACCAGGTCGGTCGCGCGGCCCTGCCCCCACGTCCTTGTCCCCGGGAGACTCCGCTGCCCCGCAGAGCCCTCCAGCCTTGGACAAGCCCACCCAGAAACACGCCTCCCCAGACAGCTACCGTCTAGGGAAAGCCCCTGAGAGTGATAAGGAGGCAAAGCGCTAGTTCTACCAGAGGTTTTCTCGTGATTGTTATTTAGCTGCCCCTCCCCCCCTGCCCTCGTTCCTCGTGGGCAACGGGAACCTCCGCCCCTCTCCTGTTTGAGTGTGTCTCCCGTGACTGCCCCTGCCTGGTCCTCGTCTCACACCTAAGCCTTCCTTGAGCTCAGATCCTTCCTGGCCTGGCTGCTGCAGCGCTGGCCTCCCATTTCCCCCTCTCTTGACCCTCAGAACATCGCGATGTATGAGTGGCTGCCCAGCTTCCTGCAGCAAGCACCGCCGAATTACACAGGTGAGGGAGTTTGGGGAACACCTGGGCTGAGGGGGCGTTTGGGGAGGGGGAGGGGGTCAGGATCCATAGGACAAAGAAGACAGGTGGGTTCATGTGACGAGAGTTGTGTGAGGGTAAAGAGCCTATTTGTCTTCTTACCCCTGTGGGCAGAGTACCGCCCTTTCCTGGACCCCAGCATCTCCCCGGAGTTCCTGGCGGCCTCTGAGCCGTTCTTCTCCACCATGGTGCCCCCTGGCGTCTACATGAGGTGAGGGAGGGGCTCAGATATTTGTGTGTCTGGAGGGGTGGAGGTGTATATTGAGAAAAATCTGCCTCAGGAGACCTCAGGACAGGCTTATCAATCAGAAGTGTGCCCATTCCCCAGGGAACAGTGAATATGGAGGGAAAGAAGAACAACAGTTGTTTAAAAAGATACATCATTGTGGTTTTTGAGCACCTTAATGTCCGCTTTTCTGCAGCTGGTTTAGATATTAATCCTCCAATTAAAGACGGGCTAATTGAGGTTCAGAGGGTGAGTCACAAAGCCCGCAGGTCTGAACCTCAGGTGTTGACACTACACTGCGGATATTTTTAGCTATAAGGATAGGAAGTGGGGCTTATAAGCCTTTGGAGGGAATTACAATAAAAATGTGTGAGAGCTGAAGAAAAGTATTGACTCCAAAATAATGAAAAATAAACTTAAAAATATACATATTAAATTAAAAGTATATAACATAAAGCATGCAGTCTATTTTTTTTACAATTGCATTATAAGTTAAAACAGTTCATGGATTAGATTGTTATTACTCTGGACCAATTTCTGGATATGGCTTATGATGGCCAAGAAATCGTAGCAACTGAGTTATCCATAGACAAGTAATTTCAAAAGAACGATTAATAATCCCTTTTAAAATGTTTTAATTTACATATATAAAAAGATGTATAAAGAATGTTGCCCACCATCCAGCTCTACCAGGATCAGGTCATTAGCCACTGCAGTCGCCTTCTAACAGTACACCCTGAAAAGGAATTTGGGACAAAAAACAGGATAAGACACTCGGTGCTTTGGGAAAACAAACCCCTTAGATAGTTAGAGATATCTCAGGAAAAAATTTTAATGGACCCAGATTGTTGCATCTTCCCATACACAGAAAAACACAAAAACCATTTACTGAGGTATCTGATCCTTGTGACTAGCAGTAACCTTTTACAGAAATGTATGTTTGACTGCACCCATTCCCTAGCCCAAATCCTATATATACTGGGTTCTCCCCCTACCTCTTTGGAGCAGTCCCCTCAGAGCTACCAAGAGGCCGTTTCCTGGCCTATAGTCCTCAGTAAGTTTCCTGAATAAAATTGAAACTCACAACTCTTATGTTGTGCATTTTTTCTTTCAGTTCACAGTTTATCTGTCTCTGTCTCTTTCTCTATTGAGAGAGAGAAGAAGAGAGAGAGAATGAAACATGGTGAAATAAGGGATACACTTTTAGACGTTTGGTCTGATGTTTTTTTTATTTTTATTTTTTATTGCTTCCAAAAATTCAGGTTGTTCAGGACCTACCCTGACCACACACCACCTCAAGGAAGCAATAGCCTGGGCCCTTGGCTCTAGCCTTGGAGACCAGAGCTGATGCCTGACATTGGGGCTGCATAGCCTCGGTCACCACTAACCTGCTCCTTGCATTTCAGAAATGCCAGCTGCCACTTCCAGGGGGTCATCAATAGGAACTCAAGTGTCTCCAGAGCTCTCCGGGTCTGCAATAGCTACTGGAGCCGAGAGGTCAGGGCTGGGGGCACATACGTGGGTGTGTGTGTGTTGTGGTGTGTGTGTGTTTGTGTCTGAGGGTGTGTGGTGAAGGGGGGCAGTAGGACTGAGGCAACCAGCTGGGATGGGCTGGGGTAGAGGAAGCAGCCTGGGGCACCCCAGCCATCTCCCCTGCCGACTGTCTGAGATGACCAGGTAGCTATACATCGTCAAACGTCAGTCCTCCATGCCCACCTCAGGGCTGTGTGAGGCACAGCAGGGGCCTGTGCAGATGTGGCTCTACATCTATCACTTCCTTCTAGGTTTTCCTTCTCCCTTGACAACTCTGGGTCCCCTGTAGGCAATGGAGTACCCCAGCCATTCCAGCCCCCAAGGAAACTTCCCAGTTAGACACACCAGGGCAGTGTGTGAATGTGAACGTGTTGGGAGGGCAAGGTGGAGAGAGGAATTCTGAGAGCTTACCAGGAATCATCTGTCCAGGCCAGTATGGGTAAAAAGCATTGACCATTAATTTAAAGCAAAATCAGATACTTTGTATAGAGTGTTCATAAAGGGGGAAGGCGGTGGGAGGAAAGAGGGAAGAGGCAAGCACAGAATCAGAGTCATGGAGCTGAGCTGAAAGAGATCTCAGTGTCCTGCTAATACCTTTTTATTATTTTACTTATTTTATTTTCTTAATCCCTAAGGCCCTTTTTATTAAGGGCAGGACACTGAGTTCAGAGAGGTCCTGTCACACAGCTGGTTACTAACCGAGCAAGGACCAAGACTTAGATCTAGTGCCTTTGTCAACCATACCGTCGAGTTTCCTAAAATAGAAGCAAAGTTTTCTGTTCCTTGGGCTTGTGGAGACCTGTGTCCTAGCAGCATGAGCTTTGGATGGGGACATTGCGCACCCTGAGTGGGGAATCAACCTGTAGAGAAGCAATGGCCCCGAAGTTTGGGAGCAAATAGCAGGACTGGGTGGGCCCAGGACATGAACTCTGGGATTGAGGGAGCCTGGCTGCCCAACGGCTGGCCTCATTAGCCATGCCCCTCTCTTCTCCCCACCCCCAAAGCACCCAAACCTACAAAGAGCTGAAGATGTGGACTCGCTGCTGCTGGCCATGGCCTCCCAGATCGCTGAGCGAGAGGACCATGTGGTGGTTGAGGGTGCATGAGGTGAGGCTGAGGCTGTCCCTGCAGGCTGTGTATGCCTGGCCCCTGGGAAGAAGTTCAGCTGGAGCTCCAGGGTTGGGCAGGGAGGGGTGCCCAGGGCTGGGAGCCTGCACTCTCTCACTGCTAAGAGAGCTTCTGACCTGCTGACCATGGCTCCCTCTGTATGGCTCAGGTCCCCCTGGGGCTGACTGGAGCCTGGGGCATGGGCTAGAGGAGCTCCCTCAGACTCGGTATCCCATCCCGATTTCTGGCCTGGGCCACTGAAGTTTTCCCGCACAGACCACCTGGCCAGTTGCCTGCAGCCAGGCCGGGATCTGGTCCTGCCCTCTTACACAGAGGCCAGGGCAACACTGGGCCTGCCTCCAGTTACCAGATGGCAGGATGTCAACCCTGCACTCTTCCGGAGTGATGGCACTGTGAGGAGGGGTCAGGACCCAGAGGGCAGGGTGGGAGGTCCAGGGCACACTGGCTTGAGACACGGAGGATGGGCGGCGAAACACATGCATCAGAGATAAGCACCTGGTGAGAGGGGCAGGGCTCACCCAGGTCGCTTTTCCCAGTATCACACACCAGGATGGAGGTTACCAGACCAGCAGGATTAGGCTTTAGACTCTGTGACTGTGCAGATCCAGTGAATGTTTATTGAGCATCTGTTGCATGCCAGGCACTTAATAGGGTTCATCTTATTTACTCTTCCCAACAACTCCCTAAATGGTTTTAGAAGGTCCTTGACTCAGGAACAAGCTATACTTTCATGCACCAATATTTGAGCTGCTTTTGGGGAGTCAGCTGTCATAACCTGAGCTACCCGCTGGACAAATGGCATTGCCTGCCAGCCAACAGACCAGTTTTGGCTGCCTTAACATCTTGGCACAGCATTGTTTCTACAAGTGGGTGCCTATTTTATTGTGTTTGCCCTTACTATTTTATAACATTGTTGGAAAGTGGAGAATTGAAAGGCTATAAAGAAGTGATATGTACATGAGACCTGTAACCTTTTATAAAATCAGTAGGTAGATGGGAATCACCAGATATGCCAAAGGTAGCAAATCTTTAACTTTGGACTTCCCTGGTGGTGCAGTGGTTAAGCATCCGCCTGCCAATGCAGGGGACATGGGTTCGAGCCCTGGTCCAGGAAGATCCCACATGCCACTGAGCAACTAAGCCGGTGCGCCACAACTACTGAGCCCGCATGCCACAACTACTAAAGCCTGTGCGCCTAGTGCCCGTGCTCCGCAACAAAGAGAAGCCACCACAATGAGAAGCCCGTGCACTGCGTAGAAGAGTAGCCCTCGCTCACCGCACGTAGAGAAACCTGCTCGCAGCAACGAAGACCCAACGTGGCCAAAAATAAATAAATAAATTTATTTAAAAAAATATTTTAAAAAAGAATCTTTTAACTTCAGTTGGGCCTCATTGGAATTAAGCTGGTCAAGTGCTTATTTATATTGTAGAGAGAGCTTCCCTGGTGGCGCAGTGGTTAAGAATCTGCCTGCCAATGCAGGGGACATGGGTTCAAGCCCTGGTCCAGGAAGATCCCACATGCCGTGGAGCAACTAAGCCCACGTGCCCCAACTACTGAGCCTGTGCTCTAGAGCCTGCAAGCCACAACTACTGTAGCCCGTGTGCCTAGAGCCCGTGCTCCACAACAAGAGAAGCCACCGCAATGAGAAACCCATCAGCACTGCATTGAAGAGTAGCCCCCGCTTGCTCGCCACAACTAGAGAAAGCCCGTGTGCAGCAATGAAGACCCAACACAGCCAAATATATATATATATGTATTTATATATATATATATATATATACATATATATAGAGAAAGAGAGAGAGAGAGTGGAGAAAAGAACTAAATTAAAGGTCAGGTAGACAACACTGCTTCTATACTGTTGAACACTGTCTCTAAAAGGCAATGTATATGCAGGGATTTGATTTTCAAAAACTTTTTTTAACCTCTAAAGAACAGAAACCTTTTCTAACACATCATTCTACCATTCAACTTTTGTGCTGATGTTTTTTTATTTTTGCGGTACGCGGGCCTCTCACTGTTGTGGCCTCTCCCGTTGCGGAGCACAGGCTCCGGACACGCAGGCTCAGCGGCCATGGCTCACGGGCCTAGATGCTCCGCGGCATGTGGGATCTTCCCGGACTGGGGCACGAACCCGCGTCCCCTGCATCGGCAGGCGGACCCCCAACCACTGCGCCACCAGTGAAGCCCTTTTGTGCTGATTTTGACTCTTCAACTTTCATACCTTTTCAAGAACAAGTTACATCGGGGACTGACTGTTTTATTCCAGCTATATGTAAAATAAGCAGCTGAATCTGTGAGAGAGTTCTCGTAAATGAGTTAACTTACAGAAAGCACTCAGAGCAGTGCCCAGGGCATAATAAGTGATGACTTGTCCCTGTCATTTATTATGATTATCCCTGGGGCTGATCTCTGGGAGCAACCTCTTGGCTGGAGGGCAGGTACCGGGTCTTTGCACTCACTCCTGTCCCTTCTTGGTCCCAGGTGCTGGAGGCCACAGCTGCCCTGTTCAGCCAGGACTGGTCCCGGCTGGAGCTACTCCCCGGGGGGCTCCTGGAGAGCCATGGGGACCCTGGACCCCTCCTTAGCACCATCGTCCTCCATCAGTTTGTGCGACTGCGGGATGGCGACCGCTACTGGTTTGAGAACAGCGGGAATGGGTGAGGCCTGCCTGGGTTCCCACCTCAGACTCTACCTCAGCCTGGGCCCCAGACCCTCTGCCTGTAGACAGCCCCATGGGCCCTTGATTCCCAGCTGGCCCACCCCTCCCTCCCCAAGCTCTCTGGATCTTTTCCTGCATCTGGGTTCCTGGGCCTGGGAGCCTGCATCTCTCTCCTACCTCAACAGCTCCCCACCTCTCCCACCCCCAGGCTGTTCTCTGAAAAAGAGGTTGCAGAGGTCGGAAACACTTCCCTACAGGATGTTCTAGTAGCTGTCACCAACGTGAACCCTGGTGCCCTGCAGCCCAACGTCTTTTTCTGGCATGCTGGTGAGTGGCCGGGGTGGGGGGCACTTGGCGGGGTTTGGGATCTGGCGCCTCATCCCTCCTCAGCTGTGGGCTTGGTTCAGTGTGGCTAGATAGTAGACTCCAAGTGGGGCGTGAGCTATGGTTCTGCCCTTGGGAACTTTGGTTCTGGGCACCAGGGTGGCCACATACAGCTACATACGGTCCCTTCTGCACAATTCTACCAGGTGCCCAAGCGCAGGCAGGACTGAGACGCAGAGAGACCTGGTGAGGAGGCTCACATTTGGCCAGGATGGTTGTAATATTAGGAGGGCCGAGTGCAGTGAGACTATCCTAAGGATATCTAATCCCACTGTAGTGATGAGGAAAGGAAGGGCTGTGTGTGTGTGTGTGTGTGTACATATGTACGTGGGATGGAGAGACAGGTTGAGGTTTATTTTTTATTCCACTTGTTACCCTGGTAGGCAGATGCCACATTCTTGGTACAATGGCAGGGGTAAGAAGCCCCCTCCCCTCTGCTACCCAGAACTCTTTCTACCACCCTAACCTCCTCAGTGATCCTGTCCTAAAGCTTGTGGCCCAGCACCTCCAGGCCTATAGCTTCCTCTGTCTCCCCAGGAGACCCCTGCCCGCAGCCAAGACAGCTCAGCACAGAGGGCCTGCCAGCCTGTGCTCCCCGCATCATGCGGGACTATTTTGAAGGCAGTGGATTTGGCTTCGGGGTCACCATCCGGATCCTGTGCTGCTTCCCCCTGGGTAAAAATGATGGGCAGGGTGGGGCTGGGTGAGAGGTGTAAGCTGGGTGGCGGGGTTGGAGTGTTTCCAACTATGACAACCAACCAACCATGCAGAGTACTGTTCCTCTGAGCAGATGAAGAAAACATCAGAGCAGGAGGGACATGAGAAGTGTCTAACCTGCACGTAAGCCAGCTCCAGGGAGAAATGTCTTCCTGTTCTTCTGGGGTCCCCCGAAGGGCCCAGATTGGTCAGGAGCCATGGGAAATCCACAATCCACAGCAATTTGCAGGAGCCTGGGCCTGGGAAACTGTCAGAGGCAAATCCCTGCTTGAGAACCAGGGCTGGGATATAGTTGCTGGGGCAAAGGCTTGGGACTTAGTCTTTGCCGTGGCTGTGTGTGAGTCGACCCGCAGACTGGCACAGTGGGTCCAAGTCTCTGGCACAAGGACTCTGGCCTCAGTTTCTGGCTGGAAAGGGATCTGAGTGATGGAAGCAGAGGAGGCTGGACAGGCACCTTAGATGCTACCCAAAGCTTCCCATGGGATGCAAAGCAGCTCCCCCCAAGGGAGCTTCATAATTTGAGACAATTGAGTGGGTAACCTAAGAGGTGGGGAAAGCAGGGAGTCTTGCCAAGGACAGGAGTCTGGGAAAGAAGCCACTGATCTCTCCAGACCTTCACCTTCCTCTGAGCATCCCACTGCCTCTGCCTTCTCAGTGAGCCTGCTCAGTGCCTGGATTGTTGCCCAGCTCTGGAGGAGATATTTAAAGAGGATCCAGGGCCAGAACCGTCAGAGCATCGTGTCTGAGAAGCTCGTGGGGAGCATGAAAGGTAGGCCTGGGGCTGGCCAGGGTGCGGGTGGGGAGGACGTGACTCCAGGCTACATCCCCACCACCCTCAGCAGCCTCAGGCAAAGGCCTCCCTTTTCTAGGCCTCCAGGCAGGCCAGGGAAGGTGGGAAGAGCCACAGGGGCATTAGGCAGAAGTTGGACCAGGAGTCCTCCATCCTCCTTAGCTTCTCCTAATGGTCCTAAAAAAAGAGAATGTGACTGACTCCCGGGGAGGAGTCACGGGACCCTGCCTACTTTCCACAGGCTTACTGTGACACACAAATTCCCGAGAACTGCTGCTTTGTGGTGTCTCACACTGGAATTTCAGGCAACAGAGAAGTCATTAATGAAGGTCTAGAGTCACTCTTTGAGGAATCTTGGTTCCACCCCTATGGGCTGCTGGACTTCAGGCAAACTTTTTAATCTCTCTAAACCTATTTTTTCTTATCTGTAACATAATAATAATAGCACTTACTTCATAGATTTATGAAAGTTAAATAAAGCAGTTCATGCAAAGCACCTGGTACAGTGTTGGACACATAGTAAACACTCAGGACGTGGTAGTTAATACACTTCTCACGGGCTAGAGGCACAGCAGGACTGTCGGGGAGGGGACGACCTTCAGGACCCAAGAAAGGACAAGGAGCTTAGAGGCCTTGGTCTTCCTCCAGCCCTGAGCCGGCCCTCTTCCTCCCTGAGGCAGGGGTCCCCAGCTGACCCAGCCCTGTCTCTCTCCAGCCTCAGAATGGCAGGGCCGCAAGGAGCCCTGCCGGCCTGTGCTCGTGCACCTGCAGCCCTGGCAGATCCATGTGGTGGGTGGCAGGCTCTCTGAGCTCTGCACCGTCCAGCTGAGGCCCCTGCAGCAGGTCCACCTCATCCTGTCCAGCAACCGCGGGGACGCCGCGCCGTACTGCTCAGGATCCGCAAGGACTATGACCTGGTACGGCCTAGCCGGCCCCTGGCTCCTTGTCCACAGCCACAGCCATGGAGGCAGCCGAGTGGAGGGCCGGGAGCCCTGGGCCAGGCAGGGTTTCTAGCTTCTAGTCCCCAGCTGTAGTACCAGATAGAGAAACTGGAGCACTGTTTTCCTGCTCTGAGCCTGCTGGACAACACTGTCTCCACAGTACCTTCTTACTCTTGCAGACAGGGTCTGCCTCCTCCCTATCATTTTTTTTTCTTTTCTCTGTGGTACATGGGCCTCCCACTGTTGTGGCCTCTCCCGTTGCAGAGCACAGGCTCCGGAAGCGCAGGCTCAGCGGCCATGGCTCACGGGCCCAGCCGCTCTGCGGCATGTGGGATCTTCGCGGACTGGGGCACGAACCCGTGTCCCCTGCATCGGCAGGTGGACTCTCAACCACTGCGCCACCAGGGAAGCCCTGCCTCCTCCCTTTCTAAGGGTGCCTGGGCAGGTCCTAGCTGAGAGTACTTAGAAGAGGCTGGGCCCTCTTTCCTATGCCCTGATTGCAGGATCCAGTGAATTGTAAGGGATTCCGGAGGGGAGCTCAGTCAGGGGCTGATCTTCGGCTCTGACTCTGTCTGGCTCTGGTCCCCTCCATCCTCTGCCCTTCCTGCCTTCCCCTCCCTTCTCCAGTATGGAATAGACAGGGAAGAATGGCTTTGCAGACGTGCCTTTGAATGCTGCCTCTGCATCTACAAGCATGCCACTTAACCCCACAGAGCCCAGGAGATAACAGTATCTCTTTTGCAAGGGTGCTTTTTCCAATGCTCCCCACCCCCTGCCGCCCCCTGCTGCCCCGCAACAAAATTCATGTAAAGCTTGTGGCCTCAAGAGGCCTTGATGCGTGGTTGCTCTCCCTACTGCCCGCTCCGTAGGTTCTGCTATTTGACCTGGGGGAAGAGC